TTAGTAAAACAATTAGCTCTCAGGGTTATTGAAGTCATGTGGGATCATCTTGACACAAAGCAGGACAAAAAGCAGCCACCATTTAAAGAAGATCTTTGGAACGTCCTTCAAGAATTCTGGACTTACTTTCATGTAAGTTTGCAAATGTTTCAGAGAGAAAATGCAGAGGTATTCCATAGGTGAATATGCAATCATAACAACCTGCAGTGTTTAAGTTCATACTAAGGAATTAAATTTTGAGTTTCTTGAAACACACTATCTTATTTCAAGCACAAGGTGGTGCTACAGTATAGTGCAATATCAGACCATCATTTTGCACACTGAGGTCCTGGATACACTGGTCATAAGTCTGAAGTATTTGTACATATACTTGGGTGTGATACTGCCGCAATGTACATTCAAAATAAAAATTGTATCTATACAAAAAAAAAGTGTCAAATTAATGAACCCCTGAAATAAAACAAGGTGAAACACAATTGTTTCTGATGCAAGGTACAATTAAACATTTGACTCCAGTCATCACTTTGGCCAACTGAGTGGGCCCAGTTTATCCTGATAACAGGAGGAAATCATCTCAGTGACTTTGAAAGAAGGCTCATTTGTCAGGGCACAGATGGCAGGAGCTTTAATCACAGACTGTTCCCCTGGCCAGTGCTTCAATGGGAACAGTGACTAAGCAACATCTGCATCCAGATCTACTGAAAAGACGTCAATAAATAGGTAGGATGTTGTAATCAGCAGCGCATATATGCTGACTCTAATGCTTTTGATGCACAAAACAGCAGCTTCCTCAGGTACCTTAGAAAATCTGCAGGCTGTAATCAGACTGTTGAATTAAGAACGGATGTAGTCTGTCAGCCCCTTATTATAAAAACGTGGATTTGGAGACCCTGTGGTGCAAAAACCACAGACAATGTTCTACAGAGATGTGTGGAAAAATACTGATACGGTCAAGTGAGTCATCAGCAGCTGAGGAAGTGAGTGACACGCACAAAGAGAACAAAACTCACCACTTGATCCCTCAATATTAGGGTCAAGCATTCAGGCCTGTATGCTTTGGGGTGCATTTTCATGTCTTAGTGTCAGTCCATATTTTTAGTCCATCTTATTTTACAGGGTAAGGCCCGGCACATCACGTTGTTCTCAATTATCACCTTTAAAATGTGAGGAAACACTTGTATCCTGATAGGACTCGTCTTTGATAACTAGCCTCAGTCCACAGGGTGAGCACATGAAGATAATCTCTTCCTCAGTCGTTATGAAGAATGTGGCTTCCAGATGACCTGGACACTCAATGTTAAGGAGAATTAAAGCTATTATGGTGGTAGAACAGCTTTTTAACAAACCTGTTTTTTTCTGACTGTTTTTGAACTGTCAGCAAAACTACTCATCATCAGGTATGACAAATGAATAGGATTTGTTTGCATTTACAGAGAGCTTGTGTAAGGTCGCAGTCTCACATAGTCAGAATTTAGATAGATCTCAAACGTCAAGGGTCAGTGGATTTGTAAACAATGACTCATATTGATTGATTGATTGGTAATTTATTTCAACATGTGAACAATATACAGGTACATTTAGAAAAGAAAATAAGAGAGAAAAAAATACTATACAAAATACATACAAAAAAAATGTTCTGATTAATTTACATGTTGAAAGGGAGTAAACACTTATTTAATCCCACCCCTTTGCCATAAATTATCAGTTAATATTTAGTCAGCTTCCTTACTGATATAATTTGTAATAAAAATAGTGAACAGATTTCTGATATACTATATACTATAATATCACATCATGAGTTTTTTCTTTTTTTAAATTAATTAATTAATTTTTAAATAGAGACATTCACTTAATTT